GTGATATTTAATGTTAGTTACTAATGTCTTGAATAAATTTTACTATAGATTATAAATATTTATTAATAGAATTAATTGAACTTTGACTGAAGTTGCTTAATTTGACTTTTAATTGCAATCATTAAATGAATATTGCTTCTTTTGTTTTTAAGTAAGAATAAATTAATGAGGTTTATTAATTGAATATTTTGTTGGAAAGTTAATTTTAAGATAATTTACTCAAATTATGAATTTGAATAGTCATTAATAATTTGATGTAATATTTAGGGATTAACACAACACATAGGGTATATACTTCTTTCTTGAACTGGTGTTAATTGACTCTTTTTGAATATATGTGGCTTTGCCACTCATAATGATGTATAACTTAAAATTTTCGTGAAAGACTAATATTGTACCACAAGGTACATATCGATATTGTTTTACGAAAAAGTATAAGAAAAAAGAAAAAAAATGACTATGTTTCAAAAAATAAATTAATATTATGATTTAAAAAAACTCAATTGTCCAGCTGTCTCATTCATTGTTCTCAGAAACATCACCCATGTAGACTTGGAAAAATCATCAACAACAACAAGAATAAATCTCCTACCTCCTTTTCTCAACACTCTTATTGGTCCGCACAAGTCCATGTGAAGCAGTTCAAGGGGTCTTGATGTACTGAATCCTTTCTTGTCCTTGAATGAGGACTTTGTTTGTTTGCCCTTTGCACAAGCATCACAAACTTTATCATTTGTAAACTTCACCTTGGGAAGTCTACGGACCAGGACCCCTGCAACAAGTTTGTTAAGAAGAGTAGAACTTACATAACCAAGACGTCTGTGCCATAGATCAGATTCATCAATTTGAGAACTTAGACATGAAAGATAATCTCCTTCAATGGATTCTAGGTCTACGTACATATTTTTTACTCTTGTAGCGGACATCACCACCTTCCATGTTATGCAGTTTGTAACCAAACAATTATTAGCCATGAACTTGACTTCATTTCCTCTGTCACACATCTGAAAAATACTCAGAAGATTGTACTTGAGCCCTTAAACATAATGAACATTGTTGTTTGAGTTACTGTCAGGCTTTCCTATCTTTCCAATTCAAAGAATAGAACCTTTCTTTCCACCACCAAAGGAAACACCACCACCCTTGTGTGGCAAAGAGAGGAAGTCTGAGGTATCCCCTATAATGTGCCTAGATCATCCACTATCCATGAACCAACACTTACTCTTTCCTCTCTTATGCACAATAATTACTTCTAAGTTTTAGGAACCCACTTCATGCGGAGTTCCTAGTAACTATCAAAAGTCTTAAGATGAAATCTTTCAGTCCAAGGCGGTGAGAAGTTTTTACTAAAATGGAAAAGAGAACCACGTCTCTTTTTTCAATTTTTCACAGGTCTGTCATTTCTGACAGATTCATCACATGAACCAGGTCCTTGCTCCCTGTTAGTCTAACGAATTTCTGATTTCACAAACTTCACATGCCTCTCCTTAGCATATTTTAATTTATCATACCTTTCTTTTACATGTCCACTTCTTCCACAATGAGTACATAAGAAACTAGCAACCACATACACATATTTTCCATGAGGATTATATGGTGTATCTATTCTTATTCTCCCTAGACCACTTTTCCCATTAAAACCTTTCCGAGAGAGATTAGAGAAAATCTTGGAAGAGTCAGTCTATTTTAGGGAGTGACTTAACTCTTCTTTGATTTTCTAATGATCTTTCCTTAGCCGAGAATTTGTTTCAAGAGAAGCAACTAATCAGGTTCAGAGATTTTAAGCTTATCCTCCAATTCTTCCTCATAAAAGCTAAGTTTTCTTTTATCATGTTTAGAGGTACTAGGCTCTTCTTCATCAATGTTGTTGTTAGACTCCAGTATCCCTATTCTTCTACCTATTTCAGAAATCTGTGTTAGAAAAGATGCATTTTCATTTTGAAATAAACTTAATTTTTCAATCAGCATTAAGTTTTCAGTTGACCGCTCATCTACATGATCATTTAGTAAAGCAGCAAGTTTCCTCTGACTTTCAGTAGAAAGATTTCCCAGATCATCTTTTAATTCAAAAAAGTTACCTCAGGTGCATCATCCTCACAATCTGATCTTGCATTAATGAGAACATTGAGTTGAAGATGCTTTCATTATCTTCAATGTCCATCATAGAAACATCTTCGTGCTCCTCAAGTTCTTCCCTGGACTCACTTGAATCATCATCCCATACAACAAAGGCTCTTTTTACCATCTGATCAGCATGTGCTTTCCTTCGAAAGTTATCTGGGACAAGTTCCTTCTAACAATATCTCACTTCATTAGATTATTGTTTTTGACTTGGACAGTCTCTCATAAAGTGACCTGGCTTACCACATTTGTGACATAAGTCATTAGCTTCTGCCACTCTGTTGATGTTCCATTCTTTTAGAAATCCATGTTTTTTGACAATCTTTTGGAACCTCTTTGTCATGTATGTCATCTTAGATTCTTCTTCAGTCATCTTGATTTGCGAAGATTTCAAAGAAATGTTCTTTTCTTTCATTGACTCTTTCCCAGTTGCTCCTTGCTTTTATTCAACTCATAGGTCTGCAGATTTCCAATAACCTCATCCATAGGTAAGGTCATTAGATCTTTTGCCTCAGTAATTGCATCACCTTGCTTTCCCAAGATTTTGGAAGAATTTTGAGAATTTTTCAAACTTGCTTGCACATAGGTATAGGTTCTAAAAGACCTCTTAACTCATTTATGATGGCAGTGAAACGAGATTCATTTCAAATATAGTTTCACCATCCGTCATCACAAAATTTTCATATTGAGTAGTAAGCATGTCCACCTTTGATTCCTTCACCTTCTTGGTTCCTTCATGAGCAGTTTGAAGACAGTCCCAAATCTCTTTTGCCGATTCACAAGCTGAGACCTGTTGTACTCATCAGCACCAATACCACAGACTAGGATTTTTTTCGCCTTGTAGTTCTTTTCGTACTTTTTTTCAATCAATCTCAGTAAATCCTTTCTGGTCTTAACCATAAAAGTGGTGAGACTTCCATACTTCACCTCTTTCATTGAAACATAAGGACTATCCAGGATAACATCTCACAACTCTGAATCTTCTGTATAAATGTAGTAATGCATTCGATTTTTCCACCACTCATAGTATTGACCATTGAAACGAGGTGGTCTTGTGGATGATTGTCCTTCCTCCAAATTTGGTGGAGCAGCCATTCCTTCAGGATCTTTCTTTTCCTTGTGTTAGCCAAAGGGAAAAGTAAAGCTCTGATATCACTTGTTGGAATGTATGTGTCCCCTTATATTAGACGGGAACTGGTCCCCTTAACAATATTGTACAGTAAATAAAGCACAAAGATAGAAAGTAAAAGAGACAATCACTTTTACGTGGCAACCTCCTTACTCAAGAGAGTAAAATCATAAACTATTCTCAACAGGACTTTTCAACAACGACTTTTCACTAATCTTCAACAAGCAAAAGTAAAAGTCAGTTACAAAATAAGAGACTAACCTTCAAGCCTCTTCACTTAGCAATACACCATATTACTTAGCTGAGCACGAGTAGATACAACAGTGCTCAATAAGAACCTAAGTTACTCGTAACTAAAGCCCTTTCAATGAAACACCCAAAGTTTGAAACGTTTCTATCAAGTTTAAAACAAATCTTACAATTTTATAATAATTACAAGAAAATATGAAAATAACAAATAATAAGAAGAACTGAAAGCCTTTTGATCAATATCTTGTTATTTTGATGTTTGTTGTTATGGTTTTCCTTTTAAATGAATGAGTTGTTATGTTGTATTATGTTTGATATATATATCTTCAATATTTTTTAACCATCAAACAAAAACAACCTAGTCAGTTGTGATTGGAGAAGTACTCTGCTCCTCACCAACTTTCTCTGTCACAGACAACTTTTTTACAATTGGTTGTACTTTTCACAGATGAAGTTGGTTATTCATATTATACAAAGGATCGGGTCCCTACACTGGTGAGGAATCATCAAAACATTTTGAGGAGAGCCTTCTGTTATGCCCCAAATTAAGACATGGTAAGTAGGTAGTTCAGCAAAAGGCTTCTCGAGCCTTAGTTCAAACAACTCGTATGTTAGATAATCATCCTCAATTTGGATGGGGTGGTTACACTAAAGATAGGGATGGTATCTATCCTATTCGTGATGATGGTTAGGCCAGCAATACTTAGCCCAGTTGAGACAATTCGTAGGCAGGTGGTCAAACTCACTTCTATGTTTTTTAGTGTACAGTGAGGCAGAAGTATCTTATATAGTGACCATAGGTATTATTCTAGTCTATGATTGAATGTATACATCCTTATTTAACCCTGATTTCACCATTTCATACGTGCCTTTTTATTTTGTTATGAGTTTGAGTATGATTTGTGAATCACTTGATGTTCGAATTCATATTTCTACTCCTGTGGGTGATTTTAAGATTGTTGATAGAGTCTATTATTTTTGTGTGATGACTTTTATGGGGTATAAAATCTTGAAAGTCTTGTTGATCTTTGACATGGTTGATTTTGATGTCATTTTGGGGATGACTTTGTTGTCTTCATATAATGTTGTTTTTGACGATCATGCCAAGATAGTTTTCATATCTAAATGTCAAGGATGTCTAGGCTTGAGTGGAAAGGAAGTTGTAGTTCTACTGCAAAAAAACTCATATCTTTTATTTTTAGACAAAAACCACATATGAAAATTTATTCTAGAATAGTTTAAAAAGGAATCCTATTTATGAAGTATCATTTGTATTATGAGAACAAAGTGAGAAAGACCAAAACAAATGGTGCGATGCCCAAGGTAGTTTGTCAAAATGGGTTTTCCAATCAAACCCGGCCAAAGCCACGTGGTTGGCATTCGAAAGGCAAAGGCTTCTTTCGGTTTGTTTACTCCGAAAAACTTTCAAAGGCAAAGCTACAAATATAACTACATTTTCCATCTCCGACTTCAATTTATCTTAAGGGTAAAAAAACAATTACTCGTTGTCAAACGCGTCATTTTAGTGTCTTGTTTCTCATTTGGAAGATCATTTAAACAAATAATTTTTTTGTTAGACTTTTCAATGGAGAATCTACTGAGTCACCTTTTTTTGAATCAACATTAGGATCATCGTCATCATCTCCATCACAAAAAATTCTTAATGACTTGGGTGCTCACCCCAAATCAGTTGGTTCTATTGATCGATGATGCTAGTCTTCGTGGAGAGGTCATGCATTACCTCTACGAGGTATATGACACATTTAATTTTTATAGTACTTTTTGTTATACGATCTATTTTATGTAAGTGTTAATTTTTGTATATATGTTAGTTATATATTGTTGTTTTCTACTGGATAGTCATTCGATGGGTGAGATAGAAAGGCAAAAAAATCATCTATATTTGATTTTTTTCTTGATTTTTTTAATTGGACATTATATTTCACAATGAAAGAACTTTTGTTAGTGGTCTTTATAGAAATTATGATGATATGATTAGTTTCTCTTTCAATAACTTAAGAAAATATGTCATATTTACCAAAAATGGGCATGATGTATAATTCAACATGGCCCCAATTTAACATTTTATTCAAAAATCAAATTTTGACACGTACGTTGCACGTGTATAATTCGATTAGTGAAAACTTCTTAATATTTGAATAATTATGTGATGAATTGGACAAAATTGATCAAAGGGAAGGATGCATTCTAAAAATTAGGAATAGTACAATCAATTGATATTTATTATCGTTATAAAGTACAATCACACCCTAAATTTCATTCAGATGAAGTTTAAATGATCCACATCATTCTTCTCTCACTTAAGAAAAAGTAATTCTTATTTATTGAATTATAATTAAATTATACACCATATTTTTAGAAAAAAATAATGTAATGAATGTTTTCTGGTTTCAAGATCATACAAAATATATGTACTAATTGAAAGTCAACAAATTTATCTATCTATCGCAAATTGTAATAGAATTACATTTATGGGATATAAAATCTGGAAAAACTTGTTGAACTTTGACATGATTGATTTTAATGTCATTTTGAGAATAGTTTTCATATCTATGCCAGGATGTCTGGGCCTGAGTGGAAGGGTAGTTGTAGTTTTAAAAAAATCATATATTTTATTTTTTGTCAAAAATCACATATGAAAATTTATTTTAGAAGAGTGTAAAAAGGAATCCTATTTATGAAGTATCATTTATATTATTAGAACATAGTGAAGCCCAAAAGAAATGTTGGGCGGCCCAAGATAGTTTGTCAAAACGGGTCAGTCCAGTCCCACCCAGCTGAAGCCAAGTGGTTAGCATTTTAAAGGAAAAGGCTTCTTTCACTTTGTTTACTCCGAAAAAGTTCCAAGAGCGTTACTCTATTCATCTTCTTTACTACTGACTTCAACTATCTCAATTGTTCATCGTCATCTTTCTTGAAGATATCGATCTCTACATCATGTCAACAAAGGCGAACCTACAAATATAACTACAAATATAAGAAAATATGTCATATTTACCGAAAATGGGCATGATGTAGAATTCAACATGACCGCAATTTAACATTTTATTCGAAAATCAAATTTTCACACGTATGTTGCACGTGTATAATTCGATGTTGATTAGTGAAAACTTCTTAAAACATTAGAAATAATATTTGAATAATTATGTGATGAATTGGACAAAATTGATCAAAGGGAAGGATGCATTCTCAAATTTATGAATAGTACAATCAATCGATATTTATTACCGTTATAAAGTACAATCACACCCTAAATTTCATTCAGATGAAGTTTAAATGATCCCCTTCATTCTTCTCTCATTTAAGAAAAAGTAATTCTTAGTTATTGAATTATAATTAAAATATACACCATCTTTTTAGGAAAAAATAATGTAGAATGTTTTCTTGTTTCAAGATCATACAAAATGTATGTACTTATTGAAAGTCAACAAAATCACTTTACTGCGGATATAAAAGAAAGTTGACCTTCTCCTAAAAAAACTTAATCGAGTGACCATCTTAGAAATATCTTAATCTAACTACTGATCTGTATTAGATTGACCTCACAATCAAATTTTATTTGAGAGGAAGTGCACAAATAACCAATTTGAGGACCCACTTTTTTTATATATAAAAAGAACACTTTTGAACTTATAAGTTAAAGCACAAATTGTTGCTCTAATGTTATCATAATTAATTTTGATATTAATAGTTAAACATAAAATGTTACACTTCAAAAGTATTGTTAAGCATTTTTGACAAACAACACTTCCCATTTTAAGCATCTGGCAAAACAAATTTTAGTCCTTTTTTAATCTTCTAAAAGGGCTAGTAATTGTCATATTCTGAGTTGGTGACTTTTATATATTTCAGAAGAAAGATTCATGCAAAAATCGAGCTCTGCTGCTGTGGAACAGCTTCAACACAGTTTACATGCTTTTGCTGGTATACTTCTTTTAATTTTTGCGGTTTTATATTCTGTTGGATAATCTTAAATTGAATTTTTAGAGACCTCTCATTTAAAAATTTAAGGTGTTAAGTTATGTGAAATATAATCAAAAACATATAAAACACTCGTATTTTGATGTTGAAGAAGTCGTCAATGTGCCCGTAATAATATTTCTTATGAATTTCAGGAAGTCACATCTATGTATAAGAAGTTTTCACCCTCAACGCTATCTATGAGGGAAGCAACTCGAGTTTGTTGTGCTATAGCTTTGTTTCATATCAGTAATATACCATCAAATAGTGTGTTATAAATTTATACTATTGAAGTAACAAAAAAGGTTAGAATGATTGAGAAACAGAACCACCCGATTTCATTCGTTCTCAATAACCACGAGATGATCAATGTACTAGTAAATTACGCAAGACTTGTTACATGTAGGAAATAATGTATGCATAACTAATCCAATCATTACTAATGATACACCCTATTGAACATTATTTTTATACACTTCACCAAACGGTTCCTAAATGTTTTTCGAATTAACATTTTTTCTTAAATTTAAGAAAAATAACTTACCTCCAAAAAGTAAAGAAAACATTTTCTTAAACTTATTCAACCTCACAGCTCAAATTTCCACCGTAACTCAAGTCTTGGGTACTGAATTCCGATACTAATTCGAAATATGACCTGATTCTTGATTTGAAACCTGACTCTCAACTTTGATTTGATATCCAACTCTGTGGTATCGAATGGGGTAGGGGTCAAATCCCAATTTGGGTGTCGGGTCTTCAATCAGGATTTGAGTTTGTGTGTCGAAGTCGAGTCTCGAGCTAAGTTTTAGGGTGGGACTCATAGTCAGGTGTTGGAGTTGGATCTTAGGTCAAGAGTCGAGGTTAGGTTTAGATCGATCATCGGGGGTAGATGTCGATTTGGAAGTCGGGTAATGGACAAGGTGTCGATATCAAATCCCAGTTCAGATGTTGATCCCGAGTCAAAAGTTGGTATCAAGTCCAGATTTGAAATTCGATCCAAAGTCGGATTGTGTTTCCGGGTCGGATCCTAAATAATTTGGGTGTCTAGTCTCAAATCAGGATTTGAGATCAAATTTGGGTCGGGTGTAGGGGTTGAGTTCCGAGCTAGGTGTCGAGATGGGGTTCCGAATCGAGTGTTAGAGTTGGGTCTCAGGTTTAAGAGACGAGGTTGGATCCCTAATCGCTCATTATGGTCATATGTTTGAGTCAGATGTCGATTTGCAAGTTGGGTTTCTTGTCAGGTCTAGGTTCAGAAGTCAAGTCTTGAGTCGGGATCATGTACCGGTTTGGAATTATATCTAGTGTGTGAACTCGCGGTCGGATCTTGAATCGATCGTTGGGGTCGTGTCCAGGTTCGAGTGTTGGGATTGTGTCTCAATTCGGATATTAAGCTTGAGTTCTGGATCAAATATCGACTTTGTTATTTGGGTCAATTTCTGATTTCCTAAAAAGTATTTTCTACACTCCGACAAAAAAAACAAAAGAATTTTTTGAAAAATACTTTTCAATCACCAAACCAAACACTAGAAATTAAAATACTTCCCAAAAAATATTTTCCACTCATACCAAAACACACCTACCTGAGTATTTTTATTTTTATTTTTTAAAATTTTTATGGTATTAATGTTCTTCATATTAACTTCCTGTAACACATTTTCTTAGAAAGAGTAAAAGAGTTTCAATGCAATTTTTATGTAAGACAACTGATAAGTGAATGCACAACGTATAATTTTTATGGTTATATTCTTCAGGTTATGGCTAATAACCCAGAAACAAGAACGGGGCTCATAAAAGGTAATATCAGTTTTAGAAATGACACCAATTGAAATGAAATTAACGCGCGAAATAACTAGTTAGAGTGAATCAAGTTTCTGAAAGAATTCTTTTTAATGTAGTGTAAGAAACAGTTAACTCTTTTAGTAATTTCATTTTGCAGCTGAAATACCATGTTATTTCTATCCATTTCTCAAGCCGTGTGGAGATGATAAGCATATGGAGTGTGTGAGGACCACTACCTTGGGTGTTCTCAATGACCTGACAAAGGTATCCGTCCATTTGAACAGATATACACACGTGTTCTTCATTTGTGGAAGTGCTACTTCATGATTCTGATATTTTGCTTGCTGGTGCAGTTTGATGATCCACATGGATCACATGCCCTTTGTTTCTTCTTGGAATCGGAAGTGGTTCCTTTGTGCCTGAAGTGCATTGATGTATATGACAAAAAGTCACAGAAGGTTAGTCCATTTCTGTTTTATTAATAGTGTTTCTAAATTACTTCGCTGGTTTATGATGATATTCTATTTCTTGGATCTCATATTAAATTAATGTTGTACCTCCACAGCTTGCAACTCTCATAGTTATGAATATTCTGACGCAAGAGAGTGGACTTACCTATTGTTCTGCTACGCCTGAATGCTTCTTCTCGATAGTACAAGTCTTAAGACGAGTGGTTGAGAAACTTTCTCTCAAAACTTGTTTGCTGCATCTAGAATATGTGATACAGTGTTATGTATGTGTGTCAAAAATATATAGGTCCATCGGGTAAACATTCTCGCCCCTGCGGCTCAAATTTCATGATTGCGGTTTCTATCTAAGTATCAACTATATCTCTATTGGATTTATTGTTTGATCAACCTTCAAAATGCAGGCCATGTGATGAATTGATAAGACAAATTCCTCCTCAGCTATTTGACAACACCTTCAGGCGCACTCTTCTCGTGAGTTTCATATGTGCACTCTTCTTTACTGTTATAACAACTAGTCTTGTTACTTTAGTGTTACAAAAAGTTAGTTACTTTACTCGTACAATAAAGAATTGTGACTTTAGTGTTGCAATGAATAAGTTTAGTGACCACCGATAAATCTCTTTTGTATCGATAAAAAAATATAGATCTTTTCAACTACTGTTACAGCTTCATGTGTATAATTGTAAACTTTTGTATGTCTTTGCAGCACAACCACGAAGCTTCGTGGATGTTGCAGGTTCTACTCTCAATATTTATGGATGTCTATATTTTCCGCCAATTGAAGAGAGAAAAAGGATTGCAAAGAAGGCTGCATCAAGTTATGCATCAAGTTCAAAGGGTAAGGGAAAGAGAAAGAAGTGAAGTTGTTCTGTAGGAAAAGACAGGAAATAATGACCTCAGTAGAGGGAAAATATGTTTTAAGTTAACTGTTCAACTGTTAAAAGCTCGAGAACTTCTTGAGCCTCCTTAAGACTAATACTTTTGCTTTGTTATGTACTGGATGGTTGCTTTACTTGCTTTGTCTGTATTGAATGGTAGTTTTGTTCAGCTGAGATGAAGTTATCTTAGCAGTTTCCCATATTGCAACTTTGTCAATGTCTTGGCATATTTATATTTTATTTGAGCCGAGGGTCTATTAGAAACAACATTTCTACCTTCACAGGATAAGATCTGCTCATCTGCATACACACCATCCTCCTCAAATCCCATTTGTGCGATTAGATTTGGTAATTTGTCGTTGTAGTTATTGTATGTCACATGCATCCTAAGCTTAATTAAATAATACTCGTTCAGTAATATGTAATACAACAGGCTCACGATAGAGATGTGCTTTAAATGGACTTAGATTTCAATGAACTTTTGTTAGTGGTCTATATGGCATTTATGATGATATGATTAGTTTTTTCTTTCTATATTATAAAAAAATATGTCATACTTACCCAATATGGGCATGACGTATAATTCAACATGATCTTAATTTAACATTTTATTTGAAAATTAAATTTTGACACGGTGCACTTGAGAAGGTTACTCGCTCAAATTCAAGAATAGTACCATCGATCGATAATTGTTATCGTTTTAAAGTACAATCACTCCACAAATTTCATTCAAATCAAGTTC